ATATAAATAAATATATGAATAAATATATAAATAATTACAGTATATAATATAAAACAATAATACATTATATATATAAATAAATAAATATATAAATATATATACACAAATAAGTATATAAAAATAAATATATAAATAAATATACATAAAAAAGGATTTAAAATGTATGACTCGCTGGCTCGCATGGCTCGCGCATTGGCTCGCATGACTCGCTGGCTCGCACTTTGTCACAACCCCAAGAGGCTAGTGTATACCAGTGGTGGCCCTCTATTATCCCATTTTATATTCTCAAACTGTAATTTAAAATTTAACAATTTTTCTGAACCATTTGATGGAATAAATAGTTTTTGTAAGAGGAAAAATGATGATTATAATTGCTGTAATATTTTATTAAGTAATAATTCTAAATTTAAATTAAGGTTTGTTTTACAGCTTTGTTCTACTTTATTTCATTGACAGAGCCCAGACATCAATGGTGAGCATGGGATATGATAATGTAAGTTAAATATCAAAAGCTTCTGTGAATATGTTAATTCTAATAACCAAACAATTTAACTCAATCTCACAGATTTAAAAAAATAATTTTCTGTTTAAAAGTCGCTCTTTGTTTCATAGTTACTGTAGATGGTTTTTTTTTAAAATAATATAATGTATCCAAATGTTGTACAGTATGCATGACCTACTGAAAGCAGACACAATACACTACCAGATTATTGTGGTTCAGTTACTCTAATGGGATGTTCTTCAAAAATTACTGTAGAGTGCTAATAATTTACAAGGACATTAGTATAATGTGGCTATCAAGAAATAATTATTGTCTATTTATTATTTACAGAAACGATTATACCCTGGCAGGCCTGGTCCCTAAAAGGAGAGTTGTAAATGCAGTTGGTTAAATGAAAGAACACCCAGAAACTTCTACTGATATCAACCATGTTTAAATTTGGAAAAGAATATTGAACTGAACTGTAAACCAAAAAGATGCCTGTGTTAAGTGTTATGATCCTACTGTCACTAATCATACTTAGGATTGTGTTTATAAGCTTTGCTGCAAATCTACACAGACTGATGCCAGTACTGAAATTACAGCCCATGATATGAATGAAAATATTACATTAGCTTATCAAAAAGAAGTACTGTACATTATTTAGGGAATTTAAACAAGCGAAGTGTCTTGTCCAAGAACCCAGGCAATGTACACAGCATGTGTCCTTGAACAAGACACTAGATCTTGGCTTGTATCTCTCTCTCTCTCCCTCTCTATCCAGGTGTAAAACAATATAAATGATGTTCCTATAGTAAAACAATGTTAATAAAGTGTCTTTTCATTGCTGTCGATATGCATTTGGTTGACTGTAATTTGTAATAATTGTTGTACTGGTGATATTCTGTGAAACATCATTTACAGTACATGGTAAATACTGATAGTTGCTTAATATGGTTAAATTTTTGTGATGTTACAGCAGATCACACTCAACTAATTCACTTAATATAATACAGTGTTAATTTTAAAAGCATGTTAATATCATACACAAATGATAACCAAATTGGAACACTGTCTAACATTACACAGCAATGTCATCATCACTATTGATGAATAACATCATCTGTCCTTATAAATCAATGCAAACAATTAAAGAGGAACCAAGACTTGCAAATTGATCAGTTTGCCTTTTTATTCACGTGATATGCATCAATATTTTAACAATGCTGAATTAATAATAATAATGTTTACAATACATTTACACTAATTCTGTTAAAATATCTACCATGTACAGTAGGAAAGGCCTACTTAAACTTCATCAAAAACAATCAATTTGTCCATCTTTATTAAATAGCGAAGAGCTGTGATGAGTATCAGTGTGCGTACTTATGTACACATGCAGTTCATATTTTAAAGGATAGTCTTGCAAAATGGCTTCAGCATTTACCTTAAGAGTGGATTTCAGAGGCAATACAATCAAATTTTATCCAGTAATTGTTGTGTGTTTAACAGTTATTTTAACATTGTGATAGTTGCTAATAGCCTGTGAGCACTGTCTTTTAGATTGTACTTCCATCAAACTTATACTCAATCATGCAAATCCCTCCAGAACTCGGGTAATTTTGGTCTTCCACAGTGCTTCGATGTAGTTTGCATTTGGTTGTTCATCACAAGCTGGTCAAATTCTTGCCTTTGAAATTCAGTCTCGGCCATTCTTGAATTATCATCTTTCCACGTAGGCCTACTTCAAAATTACGTTTAAAACATTTCACCAAAATTGTTGGGCTAAATACTAAGATATAGCATGGCCTTGGTTTAGAACGTTGTAGTTGGCCTAGGACTCGGCTAGTAGTAATACTAGGCCTTAGGGGTAATAATAGCATTTATTAAATAATATTTATATCATTTTTATGGTCTGTTTAAAATAATAGCAGATGATAAGTTGGCAGATAGCCTACATAGGAAACAGACGTTGTCATGTTATCCAGTAGCCTGACACACTGACTGAGCAATTTTCTAAGCTAGGCCCAAATAAATTGGTTATCTGCTGCGCGGATAATACACCGACGCGCTTGACAAATCGCATTGGACCTGCCAAAAGAAGAGGAGTAAGTAGGCCTAGCCTAGATCCTCCTCCAGTACAGATCAGAGAGCAGACGTTTCTAAGTCGCATATTTATTCTGTTTTAAATACACATAATACTAGAAATTGCAAATTGCAAGTAAAGTGCTGCGAAGTACAACTGCATAAAATGTTTTTCGAACAAAATTATTTATGCGAGTCAAGTGAAAATAATGAATAATAAAAATATAACAAATAATATGAGCACGAGCCATTGTCTATATATTATTAGAACAGCGTTGGTACAATAGTGTTTTGCTGCAG